TACCATTTCTTGTAGGACAGGTCTGGTGTTGATAAAATCCCTCAGCTTTTGTTTGTCTGGGAGAGTATTTCTCCTTCATGTTTCAAAGCTAGTTTCACAAATTATAGTTTTCTAGGGTAAAAGTTTTTTCCTTCAGCACTTTACTGGCCTATAAGGTTTCCACTGAAAGGTCTACTGCCAGATGTATTGGAACTCCATTATATGTTATTTATTTTCTCTTGCTGCTTTAGGATCCTTTCGTTATCCTTAACCTTTGGGAGTTTTATTATTAAATGCCTGCATGTAGTCTTCTTTGGGTTGAATCTGCTTGGTGTTCTATAACCTTCTTGTATGTAGATATTGATGTCTTTCTCTAGATTTGGGAAGTTCTGTGCTATTATTTCTTTGAATAAACTTTCTACCACTATTTCTTTACCTCCTCTTAAGGCCAATAATTCTTAGATTTGCCCCTTTGAGGCTATTTTCTAGATCTTGTAGGCATGTTTCATTCTCTTTTTTTTTTTTTCTTGTTTCTTTTGTCTCCTCTTATGGTGTATTTTCTTTTTTTATTATGTTTATTTTATTTATGTATTTATTTTTGAGACGGAGTCTTGCTCTGTCACCCTGGCTGGAGTGCAGTGGCGCAATCTTGGCTCACTGCAAGCTCCGCCTCCTGGTTTCATGCCATTCTCCTGCCTCAGCCTCCTGAGTAGCTGGGACTACAGGCACCCGCCACTGCGCCCAGCTAATTTTTTGTATTTTTAGTAGAGACGGGGTTTCACTGTGGTCTCGATCTCCTGACCTTGTGATCCGCCTGCCTCGGCCTCCCGAAGTGCTGGGATTACAGGTGTGAGCCACTGCGCCAGCCCTTACTGTGTATTTTCAAATAGCCTGAATTCAAGCTCACTAGTTCTTTCTAATACTTGATCAATTTTGCTATTGATGCAGACTCTGATGCATTCTTCAGTATGTCAGTTGCATTTTTGGATTCCAGAATTTCTGCTTGATTCTTTTTAATTATTTCAGTTATTTAAAATTTATCTGATAGAATTCTGAATTCCTTCTCTGTTATCTTGAAATTCTTCAAGGTTTCTTAAAACAGCTATTTTGAATTATCTATCTGAAAGGTCACATATCTCTGTTTCTCCCGAATTGGTTCTTGGTGACTTACTTAGTTTGGTGGGGTCATGTTTTCCTGAATGGTCTTGATGCTTGTGGATGTTTGTCAGTGCCTGGGCATTGAAGAGTTAGTTAGTTTTTGTAGTCTTCACAGTCTGGGCTTGTTTATACCTGTCCTTCTTGGGAAGGCTTTCCAGGTATTTGAAAGGACTTCGGTGTTGTGATCTGTATCTGCATTAGGGGGCACCCCAAGCCCAGTAAAGCTGTGACTCTTGCAGACTACTAGAGGTGCCACCTTGGTGATCTTGTATAAGATCCAGAAGAATTCTCTGGATTACCAGGCAGAGATTCTTGTTCTCTTCTCGTACTTCTCCGAAACAGTGTGTGTGTGTGCTAAGCTGCCTGGAGCTGGAGGTGGGCTGACGCAAGCACCTTGTGGCCATGACCACTAGGACTGCACGGGGTCAGACCTAAAGCCAGCACAGCACTGTGTCTCACCCAAGCCCCTTTGTAACCACTATCTGGCTACCACCTATATTCACTTAAGGACCTAGGGTTCTATAATCAGCAGATGGCAAAGCCAGCCAGGCTTGTGTCCTTCCCTTCATGGTGGCACATTCACCCAGGCTCTGGGCAGGTCCAGAGACCCATCTCAACACTAGGAACTTGCTTAGGAGTTGCAGTCCTTGTGGCCTAGACTGCCATTCAAGTTTATTTAGAGCCCCAGAGCACTTCAGCCCACAGTGGAGAGGCTTGCCAGGACTCAGGTTCCAATCACTGAAGTGGGTGATTTGATTCCTCTCTGGCTAGGACTGATCTAAATGCTCCCCCGGTGGGTAGGCGTCAGCGGAGTTCAGCCCAGTTTTGCTTTGTGATGTGACAAGGCAAAGTCTCTCTATTCTCTTTATCACCATGCTCTGCCTTTCCCGAGTGCACAGATTCTCTGTGCTATGTTGCCTCTGCCACATGGGATATGGATGGCATTGGTAATTCAAGACTGTTTTTCCTACCCTCTTCAGTGCCTCTTTCTATATGTAAAGTTAAAACCAGGTACTGTGAGTACCCCTGATTTCTGGTTCTTATGAAGGTGCTTTTTTGTGTAGTTGTTAAATTTGGTGTTCTTATGGGAGGGATGCTCAATGGAGCCTTCTATTTGGCTATCTTGCTCTGCCCCTTTCCACCCTTAAGTCTTCTGGCTTTCCTCCACTTCTCTCTGGCCCTAAACCATTTTTAAGTATACAGTTGGGTGATATGAAATACATTCATAATGTTGTGAAACCATCACTACCATCATTTCCATAACTAAAACATGTTAAATTAACGTGACTGGCTCTTCAGGGTACCATAACTCTTTTCATCTTGCAAAAGTGGAATTCTAGGAGCACATTAAAATTCTCCATTTCCTCTTCCCCCAGCCTCTGGCAACCATCATTCTAATTTCTGTGTCTGATTTGTACTACTCTAAATACCTCATATAAGTTGAATCATACAGTATCTGTGTTTTTGTGACTGGCTTATTTCACTTAGCATAATGTCTTCGAGGGTTATTTATGTTGTAGCATATGTCAGAGTTCCCTTCCTTTTTAAGGCTGAGTAATATTCTATTGTATGTGTATGCCACTTTTTGCTTATTCATTTGTCTGCAGACACTTGGGTTGCTTCCATGTTTTAGCTAGTGGGAATAATGCTGCCATGGACATCAGTTTATGAAGCTCTTTGAGATCCTGTTTTCAATTCTTATATATCCAGAAGTTGAATGGCTAAATCATATGGTAATTCTTATATACATATATATATATATATATATGGGATCACTATATATAGGATCACTCCACCTAGCCAGCTATCTCTAAGATCACCAGTGACCTCTATGTAAATCCTATGGATATTCTGGTGCCTGTCTTCATTGACCTTTCAGTAGCCTTTGACACAGTGGACCACACCTTCATTCTTAGCTTTTGGGACAGGAGTCTTTTGGCTTTCCCCCACCTCTCTCTGGCTGATCCTTCTCAGTCTGTTTACAGGCTGTCTCTCCTCTGCTCAGGAATTCAATGCTGGACTTCCTCAAGGCTGAGTTGTAAGTCCCTTTATCTCCCCTCCAGGTAGTCTTCCCTGTATCCATGGCTTTAATGACCACCTCTATGCACAAATAATAGCTCCAGGCTGGAGCCTTCTGTGAGTACTAGGCTGCTATGTCTTCCTTCTCATCTTTTCTTCTTGGGTATCTCAAAGCATCACACTTAATGTGACCTAAAAAATATATATATAAAAATAAAAAAAAAAAAATATATATATATATATATTTTTTTTTTTTTGAGATGGAGTCTGGCTCTGTCACGCAGGCTTGAGTGCAGTGGCATGATCTCGGCTCACTGCAACCCCCAGCTCCTGGGTTCAAGTGATTTTCTTGCTTCAGCCTCCCAAGTAGCTGGGATTACAGATGCCCACCACCATGCCCGGCTAATTTTTGTATTTTTAGTAGAGATGGGGTTTCACTAGGTTGGCCAGGATGATCTTGAACTCTTGACCTCAGGTGATCTGCCAGCCTCAGCCTCCCAAAGTGCTGGGATTACAGCCATGAGCTACTGCGCCCGGCCTATATTTAATATTTTGAGCAAGCACCATTCTGTCTTCCATAGTGGCTGTACCATATATGATTCCCACCAACAGTGCAGAGGGTTCCAGTCTTCCCACACCATCAACATTTGTTATTTTCTGTTTTTTTTTTTTTTTTTTTTTTGATAGTAGCCAACCTAATGAGTGGGAAGTGGTATCTCACTGTATGTTTTGATTTGCATTTCCCTACTGATTAGTGATCTTGAGTGTCTATTCATGTGCTTATTGGTGATTTGTATATCTTCTTTGGAGAAATGTCTATTCAAGTTCTTTGCCCATTTCAAAATTCAGTTGTTTATGGGTTTTTGCTTGTTTGTTTGTTTGTTTTACCAACCAAGCAAGCGGCAGTGATATGTTTTTATTGTTGGTTTTAGACATTCTCTGTATATTCTCGGTATTAATGCCTTATCAGATGTATGATTTGCAAATATTTTCTCCATTTTGTGGATTGCCTTTTTACTCTATTGTTAGTGTCTTTTGATGCACAAATGTTTAAACATTTCATGCAGTCCAGTTTGTCTCTTTTTTTCTTTCTTTCTTTCTTTTTTTTTTTTTTTTTGAGACGGAGTCTTGCTGTCTCCCAGGCTGGAGTGCAGCGGCTCGATCTCAGCTCACTGCAAGCTCCACCTCCCGGGTTCACGCCATTCTCCTGCCTCAGCCTCCTGAGTAGCTGGGACTACAGGCGCCCGCCACCACGCCCGGCTAATGTTTTGTATTTTTAGTAGAGATGGGGTTTCACCGTGTTAGCCAGGATGGTCTCGATCTCCTGACCTCGTTATCTACCCACCTGGGCCTCCCAAAGTGCTGGGATTACCGGCGTGAGCCACCGCACCTAGCCTCCTTTTTTCTTTTGTTGTGTGTGCTTTCAGTGTCATATACAATAAATCATTGCCAAATCCAATGTCATAAATTTTGCCCTATATTTTTTTCTAACATTTGTATTATTTTAGGTCTTACATTTAGGTCTTTGATCCATTTGGAGTTAGTTTTTGTATATGATGTTAGGTAAGGGTCCAACCATATTCTTTTGCATATAGATATATCCAATTTTCACAGTACAATTTGTTGAAAAAACTGTCCTTTCCCCATTGAATGGTCTTGGCACCTTTGTCAAAAATCATTTAACTGTATATGTGAGAGTTTATTTCTGGGTACTCTGTTCTATTCCATTGGTCTGTATGTCTGTTTTTATGTCATTACTACAGTATTTATGACTCCCTCTGTCTAGTGGTGGTTCCCGGGTCCGGTTTCATAGAACCCAGGACCTGAACTTTGCTGTTTTAAAGGTGGCAGTAGAGAAGAGCATCACAGAAGTTGGTCAGGAGCTGACAGAGCTGGTGGAACATCTTGTAGACACTGTCAGGAGCCTGCAGAATCAGAGGCCCCTATCAGAATCTGGACCAGACAATGAACTGAGCATCCTGGGCAAGGTAGGCTCCACTGGGAGAGGAAAGGATGTGGGAGGGAATAGGGCTAGGGATTGCTTTCAACAGGAACAACATGAATATGTTTGAAGCTGAAGCAACAAGTCTCAATCTTTTATTGTTCTCTTTACTACCAGACATGGATGATTGGACATTTGGGATGCTTGAGGTAATGTTGGGAAGCTTCAAGTGGGCTAGGGTCACTCCACCTAACCAGCTATCTCTAAGATCACAAATGACCTCTGTGTAAATCCTATGGACATTCTGGTGCCTGTCTTCATTGACCTTTCAGTAGCCTTTGACACAGTGGACCACACCTTCATTCTTAGCTTTTGGGACAGGAGTCTTTTGGCTTTCCCCCACCTCTCTCTGGCTGATCCTTCTCAGTCTGTTTACAGGCCGTCTCTCCTCTGCTCAGGAATTCAATGCTGGACTTCCTCAAGGCTGAGTTGTAAGTCCAGGTAGTCTTCCCTGTATCCATGGCTTTAATGACCACCTCTATGCACAAATAATAGCTCCAGGCTGGAGCCTTCTGTGAGCACTAGGCTGCTGTGTCTTCCTTCTCATCTTTTCTTCTTGGGTATCTCAAAGCATCACACTTAATGTGTCCTAAGCTGCTCCTTTTCTGGGATTTTTGTCTCAATGCTGGCCCCATTATCTTTCCAAGTACACAAGCCAGAGACCTGGAAATCATGTTACCTTCTTCTCCCTTACCCTAATATGCAGCATATTGTAGCTTTAAGACCTGCCTAATTACCTCTCAAATCTATTTACTTATTCTTGAGCTCCTTTGAGACTTCTCTAATCCCAGCCTCAGATAATTTTATGCCTGGATTGCTGTCATTGCCTTCCAAATGCTCCACTCTCCCTCTTCTAGTCTGTTTTCCTCATGGTCGTCACAGTGACTACCACAAACATCAATCTGAAAATGTAACTCATCTGCTTAAAACATTCAAATTACATCAGTTTGCTCAGGAGTAAGACCCAAATCCTCACAGGACCAACAAAGCCCTGTAGGATTCCATCTCTGTCTGTCTCTCAAATCTCATCTCTGCTCATGCCGCCTGGCTCTGTGAGCTCCAGCTGCACTCTCTGCACAGTCCCTCCAATGTGTCTCGCGTCTTCCCACTACAGGGCACCCTTCATGGAATGCTCTCCTTTCCCTCCATCACTTAGGTAATACTTGTTCATCCTTCAGATCCTAGCTAGAACATCATTTCTTCAGAGAGAAGCCTTCACTGATTTCCTTGAACAAATCAAATCCCCCCATTAGAGGCTCTGAGGACTCCATGTACCTTTCATTTGTAGTAGTTATCACCATTGCACCTTTGTAATGACTTGTGCCATACTCTATATTAATGTCTGTCCCCCTCCCTTTTCCTGCACTGGACTCTCAACTTCATGAGAATAGGAACCTTTGATGCTTTTTTTTTTTTTTTTTTGAGACAGTCTTCCTCTGTGGCCAGGCTGGAGCGCAGTGGTGCCATCTCAGCTCATTGCAACCTCCACCTCTCAGGTTCAGGTGATTCTCCTGCCTCAGCCTCCTGAGTAGCTTGGACTACAGGTGCCCGCCATCACGCCTGGTTAATTTTTGTATTTTTAGTAGAGATGGGGTTTCACCATATTGGCCAGGCTGGCCTCAAACTCCTGACCTTGTGATCCACCTGCCACAGCCTCCCAAAGTGCTGGGATTACAGGCGTGTGCCACTGCACCTGGCTGATGCTTTTGTTCTTTTGTCCACCATTGTGTCCCCAGGCACTAGCACAGTACCCAAGTACCCACTTATAGTAGGGGCTCAACAAATACCCACTGAATGTATGAATAAATGCATCTTCAGAGATGCCACGTGTTGGGATAGAAAGTCTGAGAGTCCGGCCGGGCACGGTGGCTCACACCTGTAATCCCAGCACTTTGGGAGGCCGAGGCGGGCAGATCACGAGGTCAGGAGATTGAGACCATCCTGGCTAACGTGGTGAAACCCTGTCTCTACTAAAAATACAAAAAATTAGCTGGGCGTGGTGGCGGGCACCTGTAGTCCCAGCTACTAAGGAGGCTGAGGCAGGAGAATGGCGTGAACCTGGAAAGCGGAGTTTTTACAGTGAGCCGAGATCGCGCCACTGCCCTCCAGCCTGGGAGACAGAGTGAAACTCCATCTCAGGAAAAAAAAAGGAAAGTCTGACTTTCAGACTTGACATTGTCATTCACTAGTATTAGGACCTTGGGCAAGTCACTTCATCCATCTGCGTCTCAGGTTCCTATCTGTAATATAGAAATAATGATACAGGGCCTGCCACATCATTGGTTTATTGTGAGGATTAAAAGAGGTATAAAAAAGTGCTTGAGCAATGGTAAAATGTGGGATGTTATAATTAACTGTGGCAATTTAGTTAACCTTCATGAACTTCATCTTCTTTTGTAAAATGGAGATTTTTTACAGGTTGCTAAACCTACTTTGTGAGGTTGTTATGCAAATGAGAGAAGGGCAATACCTAGCATGTAGAAGACACTCAATAAGTGTAATACTACCATATTTTGATTGGTGGAAAGAATGGGGAGTGGATTATGCAAAGGTGGGAAGGAAAGTCAGGGGTTGAAGTTGGTAAGCAGATAAAGGGCTGTATTGGGGAAGAACAGGACCTGAGGCTAAAGAAAATCAGGGAGCATGTGTTAGAGGCCCCAGAAAGCAGGACCTAGATGCAGGCAATTTGAGAGGTAGCTCTTGGGAAGCGACATGATATAATGATAGAGGTGGGAAAAGGTTGTTTTTTTTTTTTTTTGAAATGGAGTCTTGCTCTGTCGCCCAGGCTGTAGTGCAGTGGCATGATCTCAGCTCACTACAACCTCTACCTTCCAGATTCAAGTGATTCTCCTGCCTCAGCCTCCCATGTAGCTGGGATTATAGGTGTGAGCCACCACACCCAGCTGAAAAGGTTATTCTGACTTCCATGGTTTATCTCAGTAACTATCTGTAGTATTTATTTTATAAAGCCCCTATAAGATATGCCTAAAAATGTTAAACTTTTTTGGTATTACCTAAGAAATCCATGTTTATTGTGCAAAATATTAGAAAACACATAGCATTAAATAAAGCAAATTAAAATGCTCCATAACCCCATCACCCAGAAATAACCACTCTTTGATATTTTTGCTGTAGTTATGTATTATTCCAGATTGTTTTCAAGGCATATTTTTTGAGGGCCTAATTTTGTTTTTAAAAACTTGCTGGGAATTACATAGAAAATTATAGATGAATAAAAGAACTTGAATATAATAGTTGATCGACTGCATAGGGGACTTCCATTTATTCGGTTTTAAATGATTCATCAATAGGTTTTTTCTTCTGGGGTGGATGTTTCCATGACTTCTCCAAAGCTGTTGATTTCCGACACAGCTGCAGGGAGAATCAGAGATATTCTCCAAGACCTAGAAGAAATTCAGGAAAAATTACGAGAAAACGTCTCCCGGAAAGAGGCTCCTGAAGCACAAACGCAGGGTGAGCTGATCTTACTTATTGGAGGAGGATTAAATATGGAAGTTGCGGGGAGTGGCAAAGTGCTCCATGGCTTTGTTCTCTCGGGACAGGATCCCAGAGTCCAGCGATATTACCACTGTGGTGTCATGAATCAGGTAGGGGTGGGCTGAAGTGATTTTGTGGCTGAATGTTTTTGGCAATGACTGAAGGTGTGATGTATCACAAGTCCTTTATAGATAGAAACTCATTTTTGAAGATTCATGCACCCAGGTCCTTACTGATCAAGTGTGTTATCTTACTGCAGAGATTCTGAAAAGGCCACTTAAAAATTTTTTTTTTCTTTTTTTCTTTTTTTTTTTGAGATGAAGTCTCGCTGTGTCGCGCAGGCTGGAGTGCAGTGGTGCCATCTCGGCTCACTGCAAGCTCCGCCTCCCGGTTCGGGCCATTCTCTTGCCTCAGCCTCGCGAGTAGCTGGGACTACAGGCGCCACCACCATGCTTGGCTAATTTTTTGTGTTTTTGGTAGAGATGGGGTTTCACCATGTTGGCCAGGCTGGTCTCGATCTCCTGACCTCATGATCTGCCCTCCTCAGCCTCCCAAAGTGCTGGGATTACAGGCGTGAGCCACCGTGCCCAGCCTTAAATTTTTAACTAGTAAATGTCTTCCTTTTTTTTTTTTTAAATTATTTTGTTTTTGTTTTTGTTTTATTTTGAGAGAGTCTCACTCTGTCACCCAGGCTTGAGTGCAATGGTGCGATCTTGGCTGGAATTACAGGCATGCGCCACCAAGCCTGGCTAATTTTCACAGTTTTTTTTTTTTTTCTTTTTCTTTTTTAAGTAGAGACAGAGTTTCATCATGTTGGACAGGCTGATCTCGAACTCCTGACCTCAAGGCTCGCCTCAGCCTCCCAAAGTGCTAGGATTACAGGTGTGAGCCACCGCACCTGGCTGTAAATGTCTTTCTTAACAAAGCATATAGGCCAAGTGCAGTGGCTCATGCCTGTAATCCCAGTGCTTTGGGAGGCTGAGGTGAGAGGATCTCTTGAGGCCAGGAGTTTGAGACCAGCCTCGGCAATGGAGAGAGATCCTGTCTCTACAAAAAATAAAAAATAACCAGATGTGTTGGTGCACACCTGTAGTCCCAGCTACTCCGTAGGCTGAGGCTGGAGGATCACTTGAGCCAGGGGTTCAAGGCTGAGTGATCATGCCACTGCATTCCATCCTGGGCAACAGAGGGAGATCTTGTCTACAAACAAAGGAAACCAGCATGCCACTTTGTAACTAGTTCTTGATACAGTCTATTAAGATATAATCTCTGGGGAGTGTGTTAATGTTAATATTAAATAGTACAATATAGAAAAGAACCTTTCTGTCCTGGTCCTGTAGTTTCTCTTGTTCTTCCAGAGTTATTGAAAAATAACTAACACCTTCTTGTCAGACATTAGACGTTAGCTCTGTCTGGTCTCCCAGGGTTCTTCCTCCTGTTCTGGCCACTGCTAGCTTTATATGCTTTAGAGGCATTTCTTCTATAGCTTTTCCTCTTCTGATAGCTTTTATATCCTTTATATTTTCATATTGAAACAATCTTATGCTACTTTAAAAATCATTTCTGGCCGGCGCAGTGGCTCATGCCTGTAATCCGAGCACTTTGGGAGGCTGAGGCAGGTGGATCACCTGAGGTCAAGAGTTCAAGACCAGCCCGGTCAACCTGGCAAAACCCTGTCTCTACTAAAAACACAAAAATTAGCTGGACGTGGTGGCGGGTGCCTGTAATCCCAGCTACTCAGGAGGTGGAGGCACAAGAATCACTTGAACCTGGGAGGCAGAGGTTGCACCATTGTACTCTAGCCTAGGCAACAAGAATGAAACTCTGTCTCAAAAAAAAAAAAAAAAAAAAAGAAAAAAAGAAAGAATCATTTCTTATGTAAATGGAGAAGCATGATTCCTTGGGAAAAGTTTCTTAAGGAAAACAATTAGAGAGCAGTTTATTGTTCCAAAAATTATCTGAGAAAGAAGCACCTTCGTATCCTGTGTGCTTCTAAACTTAGGTTGGGTTCCTTAGTGATTTTATTTATTTATACAAATTTAAGATCAATTTTTAAATTTTGGGGGGTTACATTTAAAATTTCTCATTCAAAAATCAAAACAGGACTGGGCGCCGTGGCTCATGCCTGTAATCCCCGCACTCTGTGAGGCCGAGGCAGGTGGATCACCTGAAGTCAGGAGTTCAAGACCAGCCTGGCCAACATGGTGAAACCCCGTCTCTACTGAAAATACAAAAAATTAGCCAGACGTGGTGGCACGCTCCAGTAGTGCCAGCTACTCCAGAGGCTTAGGCAGGAAAATCGCTTGAACCCGGAAGGCGGAGGTTGCAGTGAGCCACTGCACTCCAGTCTGGGTGACAAGAGCGAAACTCCGTCTCAAAAAAAACAAAACAACAAACAGTATAAAAAGGGCATACAGCCCAATCTCTCTTCCATCCTTGTCAATTGCCCCATTCTCTTATCTCAGTGTACCACTTTTATTACAGTGTTTTGAGTGTTCAGAAGTTATTTATGCAAATGTCAGCGAATGTGAATTTATATTCTTCTTTTTCCCAATCTTTTTTTTGTACATAAAAGATAGCACATTATGTATATTGTCCTGCATTTTGCTTTTGTCTTTTACTTAATACATCTTCATTTTACAGTACAGTACTTAGGATATTTTTTCTTTGCTTTTTTTTTAGCACCTAGAGCATTTCCGGCCCCCCCCCCCTTTTTTTTTTTTTTTTTTTTTGAGACGGAGTCTTGCTCTGTCGCCCAGGCTGGGGTGCAGTGGCCGGATCTCAGCTCACTGCAAGCTCCGCCTCCCGGGTTTACGCCATTCTCCTGCCTCAGCCTCCCAAGTAGGTAGGTAGGACTACAGGCGCCCGCCACCTCGCCCGGCTAGTTTTTTGCACTTTTTAGTAGAGACAGGGTTTCACCGTGTTAGCCAGGATGGTCTTGATCTCCTGACCTCGTGATCCGCCCGTCTCGGCCTCCCAAAGTGCTGGGATTACAGGCTTGAGCCACCGCGCCCGGCCCCCGTTTTTTTTTTTTTTTTGACACGGAGTCTCACTTAGTTGCCCGGGCTGGAGTGCAGTGGCGCCATCTTGACTCACTGCAAGCTCCGCCTCCCAGGTTCACACCATTCTCCTGCCTCGGCCTCCTGAGTAGCTGGGACTACAGGCGCCTGCCACCACGCCCAGCTGTTTTTTTTTATTTTTAGTAGAGATGGGGTTTCACCGTGTTAGCCAGGATGGTCTCGATCTCCTGACCTTGTGATCCACCTGCCTCGGCCTCCCAAAGTGCTGGGATTACAGGCATGAGCTACTGGGACCGACCACATTTTCCCTTTTACAGCTGCTCAGTATTCCAATATCTGGGTATGCCAACATTTATTTACTCAGTCCTCTACAGGTGAATGCATGATTGTTTCCAATTGTTTACAGTGACAAATAATGCTGAAATCAATAACTGCATGTACATTGTTTCATATGGGTGCAGATATAATTGTAGCTCAAATTGTAGTGAAGGTAGCTGGGTCTTAGGGTGAATTCATTTGTCATTTTGATATACATTGCCAAATCACCCTCCAGTTGGGTTATACCAGTCTTCACTCCCACAGAAAAAGTGTGTGTCCCCAACCTGCCAACTGAGTGTGTTGGCAGACATTTGCCTTTTTTTTTAAACCAAACTCATGGGTCAAAATATTGATGTGAAATTAGCCAGTCTTGGTGGTGGGTGCCTGTAATCCGAGATACTTGGGAGGTTGAGGCAGGAGAATCGCTTGAACCCGGCAGGCAGAGGTTGTAGTGAGCCAAGACTGTGCCATTGTCCTCCAGCCTGGGCAATAAGAATGAAACTCTGACTCAAGAAAATATATTGACGTGAGAGTATACTGCACGTTTTTGTTTTTTTGGTTTTTTGTTTTTTTTGAGACTGAATTGTGTTCTTGTCGTCCAGGTTGGAGTGCAGTGGCGCGATCTCAGCACACTGCGACCTCTGTCTCCCAGGTTCAAGTGATTCTCCTGCCTCATCCTCCTGAGTAGCTGGGATTACAGGCACCACCACCAGGACTGACTAATTTTTGTACTTTTAGTAGAGACAGGGTTTTGCCATGTTGGTCAGGCTGGTCTCGAACTCCTGACCTCAGGTGATCTGCTTGCCTTGGTCTCCCAAAGTGCTGGGATTACAGGCATGAGCCACCACGCCCGGCCTATACTACACTTTTAATTTGTGCTTCTCCATGAATTGTCTTTCATATCTTGTGTTATTGGTCTTCTAAAAATTGACATTTAGGAGCTCTTTGTAAATTAAAGAGATTAACCTTTTGTCTGTTATATGAATTGCAAATTTTGTTTCTTAATATGTCATTTGTCTTTTTATGTATCTTTTGCAGGTTTTATAATGCCATATAGACATTTTTAAATTTACATTTTTTTTTTTTTTTTTAAAGGAGTTTTGCTCTTGTTGCCCAGGCTGGAGTGCAAAGGTGCGATCTGGCTCACTGCAACATCTGTCTCCCGGGTTCAAGCGATTCTCCTGCCTTAGTCTCCCAAGTAGCTGAGATTACAGGCCTGTGCCACCACACCTGGCTAATTTTTATATTTTTAGTAGAGACAGGGTTTCTCCATGTTGGTCAGGCTGGTCTCAAACTCCTGACCTCAGGTGATCCACCTGCCTTGGCCTCCCAACATGCTGGGATTACACAGGAATGAGCTACCGCGCCTGGCCTTTACATAATTTTTTATAGAGATGAAATCTCACTGTTTTGCCCAGGCTGGTCTCAAACTCCTAGGCTGAAGTAATCCTTCTATCTCTGCCTGCCAAAGTGCTGGGATTACAGGTGTGAACCACCATGCCTGGCCTCAATTTTTTTTTTTTTTAGAGACAGGAGACAGGGTCTTGTTCTGTTGCCTAGACTGGTTGACTAGAGTGCTGTGGCAATTCCTGTGCTCTAAATATTTCTTTTTTATTTTTTTGAGACAAGGTTTTACTTTGTTGCCCAGGCTGGAGTGCAGTGGTGCGATCATGGCTCACCCCAGCCTTGACCTCCCAGGCTCAAGTGATCCTCCCTCCTTAGCCTCCTGAGTAGCTGGGACTGCAGGCGCATGTCAGCGCGCCCGGCTGATTCTTGTGTTTTGGGGAGAGACAGGGTTTTGCTATGTTGCCTAGGCTGGCCTGGAACTCCTGGGCTCAAGCATTTCGTTCATCTTAGCCCCTTGAGTAGGTGGGACTGCAGGCGGCGCTACCACACTCAGTTAATTTTTTGTTTATTTTTTTGTGGAGAAGAGGTCTTGCTTCTGTTTTCATGTAGTAAATTTTATTCGTTTTTTCTTTTATGCATTGTAGATTTTAAGTTTTAGTTAGAAAACTCAACCCCCTGAAGTTTAGAAAGGAATTTTCTCAGGTATATGTGTGTGTTTTTACTTTTACAGTTTACATTTAAATCTGTGGTTTCATGTTTTACATTTAAACTTTGACCCATTTCAAGTATATCTCAGCATGTATCCTAGTGCATTTTGTTTTATTTGTTTATTATTATTATTATTATTTTTTTTTTTTTTTTTTTTTGAGGCAGAGTCTCGCTCTGTTGCCCAGGCTGGAGTGCAGTGGCACGATCTCGGCTCACCACAGCCTCTGCCTCCCGGGTTCAAGCGATTCTCCTACCTCAGCCTCCTGAGCAGCTGGGATTACAAGCTGCTGCCATCACATCTGGTTAATTTTTGTATTTTTGGTAGAGACGGGGTTTCACCATGTTGGCCGGGCTGGTCTTAAACTCCTGACCTCAGGTGATCCGCCTGCCTCAGCCTCCCAAAGTGCTGGGATTACAGGCGTGAGCCACTGCGCCTGGCCTTATTTATTTTTTAAATAGAGACAGGGATCTCACTTTATTGCCCAGGCTGGTGTTGATCTCCTAGCCTCCAGCACTCCTTGTGCTTTGGCTCCCAAAGCGCTGGGATTACAGGCATGAACCACCACACTGAGCCCCTAGCGAATTTTAAATAAGATTTGCGTAGTGCCACTTTATAGACATATCTCATAGCATTTTCATGTTTAAGGATGTTGCTCTGCTTAAAATGTTGCTCTTAACTGGATAACCATTATTCTTTGGAAAAAAATATCAGTTTCCATGGTTAAGTGTAGATTATTTCTCTCATCAATAGAGATAAAAGTATTAGGGAGTGTTAATTTAAAAAGAAAGTAAATAACTTCAGTAGGTCTTGCAAACGTTTATAAAATTTTTTCTTTTTTTTTTTTTTTTTTGAGACGGAGTCTCGCTCTGCCGCCCAGGCTGGAGTGCAGTGGCCGGATCTCAGCTCACTGCAAGCTCCGCCTCCCGGGTTTACGCCATTCTCCTGCCTCAGCCTCCCGAGTAGCTGGGACTACAGGCGCCCGCCACCTCGCCCGGCTAGGTTTTTGTATTTTTTAGTAGAGACGGGGTTTCACTGTGTTAGCCAGGATGGTCTTGATCTCCTGACCTCGTGATCCGCCCATCACGGCCTCCCAAAGTGCTGGGATTACAGGCTTGAGCCACCGCGCCCGGCCTATAAAATTTTTTTTCCTCTCTTTTTCTTTTGTTTATAATCTGCATTCTGCTGAATTAATTAATTAATTAATTTTTAAATTTTGAGACAAGTTCTCTGTTACCCAGGCTGGAGTGCAGTGGCACAGTCACTGCAGCCTCAATCTCCCAGGCTCAGGTGATCTTCCCGCCGAAGACTCCCAAGTAGCTGGGAGTGTGCCACCACACTCAGCTAATTTTTTTGTACTTTTTGTAGAGATGGGGTTTTGCCATGTTGCCCAGGCTGGTCTCCCACCCTTGGGCTCAAGTGATCCTCCTGACTTAACTTCCCAAAATTGTTGGGATTACAGGCGTGAGCCACGGTGCCCAGTCAAACATTTTAAAAACACTAATTAACAATAAGTAACAATCCTATCAGCTAAATAGGAGAACAGTGATATTCATCTGAATTTTGTGTTTTTCTAAATTGTGGTGAAAATATATATAACATAAAATTTACTGTTTTCAAGTAGGCAGCTCAGTCAGGTGCAGTGGCTCACACCTGTAATCACAGCACTTTGGGAGGTTGAGGTGGGCGGATCACCTGAGTCCAGGAGTTCAAGAGCAGCCTGGGTAACAGTGAGACCCACTTCTCTACCAAAAATACAAAAACTAGCCTGCTGTGGTGGCGCACGCCTGTAGTCCCAGCTACTTGGGAGGCTGAAGTGGGAGTATCACTTGAGCCTGGGAGGCAGAAGTTGCAGTGAGCTGAAATCGGGCCACTGCACTCCAGCCTTGGCTACAACAACAAAAAAGTAGGCAGCTCAGAGCTCAGTACTGTTAAGTGTGCTTACATTATCATATAACCAATCTCCAGATCATTTTCTTTTTTGTAACTTTAATTTTTTTTTTTTTTTTTTTTTTTTTTTTGATATGGAGTTTCACTCTTGTTGCCCAGGCTGGAGTGCAATGGCACGATCTTGGCTCACTGCAACCTCCACCTCCTGGGTTCAAACAATTCTCCTGCCTCAGCCTCCCGAGTAGCTGGCATTACAGGCATCCACCACCACACCTAGCTAATTTGTTTTGTATTTTTAGTGGAGACAGGGTTTAGCCATGTTGGCCAGGCTGGTCTTGAACTCCTGGGCTCAGGTGATCCACTTGTCTTGGCCTCCCAAAGTGCTGGGATTACAGGTGTGAGCCACTGTGCCTGGCCTGTAACTTTATTTTAATTTTAGGGATAGGTCTTACTTTGTTGCCCAGGCTAGAGTATGGTGGCACAACCATGGCTCCCTGTAACCTCAGTCCTCCTGCTTCACCCTCCCCAGTAGCCAGGACTGTAGGCTCACACCGCCATGTTCAGCTATTTAAAGAATTGTTTGGTCTGTAATCCCAGCACTTTGGGAGGCCGAGGTGGTCGGATCACAAGATCAGGAGATCGAGACCATCCTGGCTAACATGGTGAAACCCTGTCTGTACTGAAAATACAAACAATTAGCCGGGCGTGGTAGCAGGCATCCGTAGTCCCAGCTACTCGGGCGGCTGAGGCAGGAGAATGGCATGAACCCGGGAGGTGGAGCTTGCAGTGAGCTGAGATTGCGCCACTGCACTCCAGCCTGGGCGACAGAGCGCTCCATCTCAAAAAAAAAAAAAAAAAAAGAATTGTTTTGTAGAGACAGGGTCTCATTATGTTGCCCAGGCTGGTCTGGAACTCCTGGCCTCAAGTGATCCTCCTGCCTCAGCCTCCTAACTAGCTGGGACTATAAGCATGGGCCACCATGCCTTGCTTCATGTTGCAGAATTGAAACTCTATATCCATTAAGCGACAATTCCCTCAACCCCCTCACACCCAGCAACCACTATTCCACTTTCTGTCTATGAATTTGACTGTTCTAGATACCTCATGTGAGTGGAATCATACAATATTTGTGTGTGAGAGGTTTACTTCACTTAGTGTAGTGTTCCCCAAGCTCACCTGTGTTGTAGCATATATCAGAATTTGTTGCTTTTTTTTGTTGTTTGAGATGGAGTCTTGCTCTATCATCCAGGCTGGAGTACAGTGGCACGATCTCAACTCACTGCAACCTGTGCCTCCTGGATTCAAGCGATTCTCCCACCTCTGCCTCCTGAGTAGTAGCTGGGATTATAGGCATGTGCTGCCACGCCTGACTAATTTTGTGTGTGTGTGTGTGTGTGTGTGTGTGTGTGTGTGTATTTTTAGTAGCGACAGGGTTTTGCCATGTTGGCCAGGGAGGTCTCGAACTCCTGACCTCAGGTGATCTGCCCATCTCAGCCTCCCAAAGTGCTGGGATTACAGGCATGAGCCACCGTGTCCAGCCAGAATTCATTACCTTTTTTTTGAGATGGAGTCTCGTTTTGTCACCCAGGCTGGAGTCAGTGTCATGATCTCAGCTCACTGCAACCTCCGCCTCCCGGGTTCAAGCGATTCTCCTGCCTCAGCTTCCCAAGTAGCTGGAACTGCAGCCGCGTGCCACCACACCTGGCTAATTTTTATATTTTTAGTAGAGATGGGGTTTCACCATATTGGCCAGGCTGGTCTTGAACTCCTGACCTTGTGATCTGCCCGCCTTGGCCTCCCAAAGTGCTGGGATTACAGGTGTGAGCCACCACACCTGGCCATAATTTGTTACTTTTTAAGGTTAAATAATATTCCATTGTATGTATACATCACATTTCTTTATCCATTTCTCTTTCTATGGACACATGGATTGCTTCAGTTCCCACCTGAACTTTGAGGATGACCTCTTGACAGGCAGCTGTCTTGCTCTCATGACCTAAGTTATCACAAGCACACCCTAGACAAGGTCTTTTGTCTCTTCTCAGGCAGAGTCTTAGATTCACTTCAGCTGCTGTCACTTCAAGATACAAATAGGACAAGACTTTGCCTTCAAAGTCTGCAGTCTAGGACTTCCGTTACTTATCATCTGCCTGACGTGGTCATTGCACTCTAGCACACATGACTGCTTTAAGTTAATAATTAAACTTTAGCACATTGAGAGGGAATTAGGAGGTGTCAGCAGTGGTGATGAGTCTCACACCAACTCATGTTACCCAGTTTAACACCTGTTTAAAGCATTGACTTGGGGGTCCTGGATATCCTAGGTGTTAGGGTGCTGCAATCCCCTGGAACTGTATTAGTTACTTTTATTTTATGAGTGTGCATAAAACACCTTCTATCTATGGGGCTGGTATGGGGCTTGGTGCTTAGAACACATAGATGGACGAGATCTTTCCCAGCAAGGAGCTGAGAGCTTAGTGAAGAAAGAGTGGAAAGTCCACAGTGAGAACATGGAGGTGCACATACCCGGGCTGCAGGCACTGCCTCTGCCTGATCCAGTCCTGACACTGAAAAATGTGCAGATGATAAGAAGACAAGCCATGTGCCTTGATCATGATGTTTGGATACCTTCAGTTTGCCTTTTTCTGATGGGACTTTCCTCTCTTAATTTTTTTGTTATTTAGGAGAACTCCCGGAAGCCCCATCTTCCTCCTCATGCCCATTGCCTGACCAGAGCCACCCTGCACTCAAGAGAGCTTCTCAGTTTGCTCAGTGTAAGTATGTGGTCCACTTTAAACCTGGGTTTGGCTTGCTGTGGAGCAGAGCTTCGAGAACATCATATGTCCATCTCCCTACTGCTAGGGCCACTCCTTGGCTTACTGCACATGGGTGTGTTCCCTATACCAGGTCCCTCCACGGGGGGAGTTGATTGCAAAGGCAAAGCAGGTTGAGACTCTAGATCCAAGAGCACTCAAGAGTCCAGCCAACCTTTGAGCCTCTCTGCTGTGGCCACCAACTACAGCCAAATACCCAAACCTGCTGAGGTATTTCTGCATCTGTGCTGTGGCCACCGACTACAACCAACTGCCTTTTCCTAAACCTGCTGAGATATTTCTGCCATCTCAGTCTGGGACAGTCCTTAAGAGCATGGATCCCGGAGCCAGACTGCTTGGGTTTGACGCCCAGCAGCTCCACTAACTAGCTGTGTGATCTTGAACAAGTCACTTAAGCTCCTAGAGCCTGGGTTTCCTCATCTGTAAAACGGAGATAATATAGTACTTTTCTTGCGGGATTGCTATGAGGGTTAAGTGAGTGAGTATGAGTAAAACACCTGGAGTAGTCATGTTTTATAAGAGTTAGCAATTTATTCACTCAATAGGAAACTGTATGAAATATACAAAGTGAATAAGATATGGTCCTTAGTCAGGAAGTTTCAGTTTAACTGGGAAGGTATAAACAGCTAGATAGATAGAAGATGGGCCAGGCACGGTGGCTCATGCCTATAATCCCAGCACTTTGGGAGGCCGAGGCAGGTGGATCACTTGAGGTCGGGAGTTCGAGACCAGCCTGGCCAACATGGAGAAACCCTGTCTCTACTAAAAATACAAAATTAGCCAGGCATGGTGGTGCATGTCTGTAATCACAGCTTCTCAGGAGGCCGAGGCAGGAGAATTGCTTGAACCTGGGAGGCAGAGGTTGTGGTGAGCTGAGATCATGCCATTGCACTCCAGCCTGGGCAACAAGAGCGAAACTCTGTCTCAAAAAATATATATATATAGGTAGGTAGGTAGGTAGGTAGGTAGGTAGATAGATAGATAGATAGATAGATAGATAGATAGATAGAAGCTGGTAAGTATCATGAGAGAACACATAAAGCACCAGAGGTGTTGAGAAAAGCAAGAGATGACTTTGCTGGGTGGGATGCCAAGAGGGCTTCCTAAAAGATGACTAGTGGGTTAGTAAAAATTAATATGGGAAAGGGGTATTGTTGATATAATAATATCAGAGGTATGTATAGAAAATTGCAAGTTGATGTACCAATTTTTGGCTGTTTGCTTGTTTATTTTTGTAGAGACAGGGTCTCTCTATGTTGCCCAGGCTGGTCTGGAACTCCTCGCCTCAAGTGATCCTCCCACCTCAGCCTCTCAAAGTGCTGGGATTACAGGCATAAGCCACTGTGCCTGGCTTGAATTTTTTTTTTTTTTTTTTTTTTTGAGAAGGAGTTTCGCTCTTGTTGCCCAAGCTGGAGTGCAATGGCACGATCTCGGCTCACTGCAACCTCTGGCTCCTAGGTTCAAATGATTCCCCTGCCTCAGCCTCCCGAGTAGCTGGGATTACAGGCATGTGCTACCATACCTGGCTAATTTTTTGTATTTTTAGTAGAAATGGGGTTTCACCAGGTTAGCCATGGCTGGTCTCAAACTCCTGACCTCGTGATCTGCCTGCCTCAGCCTCCCAAAGTGCTGGGATAATAGGCGTGGGCCACCGTTTGTTTGTTTGTTTGTTTTGTTTTGTTTTTGAGACAAAATCTTCTCTGTTCCCCAGGCTGGAGTGCAGTGGCACATCTTGGCTCACTGCAACCTCTGCCTCCCAGGCTCAAGCAATTTTCCTGCCTCAGCCTCCCGAGTAGCTGGGATTACAGGCATGAGCTACCATGCCCAGCTAATTTTTTTTTTTTTTTTTTTTTGAGATGGAGCCTCGCTCTGTCACCCAGGCTGGAGTGCAGTGGCGTGATCTCGGCTCACTGCAAGCTCTGCTACAGGAGCCTACCACTATGCCTGGCTAATTTTTTGTGTTTTTAGTAGAGACGGGGTTTCACCGTGTTAGTCAGGATGGTCTTGATCTCCTGACTTTGTGATCTGCCCGCCTTGGCCTCCCAAAGTGCTGGGATTACAGGTGTGAGCCACCACACCTGGCCTACGCCCAGCTAATTTTGGTATGTTTAATAGAGACAGGATTTGGCCATGATGGCCAGGCTGGTCTTGAACTCCTGGCCTCAAGTGTTCCACCTGCCTTGGCCTCCCAAAGTGCTGGGATTACAGGAGTAAGCCAGTGCACCTGGCTGAGGGAGCTGGCCTGATTTTTATTTATTTATTTATTTTTATTTTTATTTTTTGTTTTTTTAAAGAGACGGAGTCTTGCTCTGTTGCCCAGGCTGGAGTGCAGTGGTGCAATCTCGGCTCACTGCAGGCTCCGCCTTCTGGGTTCACGCCATTCTCCTGCCTCAGCCTTCCTAGTAGCTGGGACTACAGGCGCCCAGCACCACGCCCAGCTAATTTTTGTATTTTTTTTTTGGTAGAGATGAGGTTTCACTGTGTTAGCCAGGATGGTCTTGATCTCCTGACCTTGTGATCTGCCCACCTCGGCCTCCCAGAGTGCTGGGATTAGAGGCGTGAGCCACCACGCCAGGCTGGCCTGATTTTTAAAATTGACATATTATAATTGTATAGTCTGGGTGCCGTGGCTCATGCCTGTAATCGCAGCACTTTGGGAGGCTGAGATGGCAGGATTGCTGGAGCTCAGGAGTTCAACACCAGCCTGGGAAACATGGCAAAATCCTGCTTCTTTTCTAAATAAATTTTTAAAATAAATAAATGTAATAATTGTACATATTTATGGGATACATAGTGATGTTTCAATACATATGATGCATAGTGATCAGATCAAGGTAGTTAGCATATCTATCATCTGAAACATTTATCATTTCTTCCTGTTGGGTGATGTACCAATTTTAATGCCAGTGTGAGTGAAACATCACACTAAAAGATACAAAGTTGCTTTTTGCTATTTGAAGACTTCTTAGCATGGATGGTCAAAAGATGACTGGCCATGTTCTTGGTGTTCTTTTTTTTTTCCAAAGGGGCCATCCATCCAACCTTTAACTTGAAGAGCCTTTCCTGCAGCCTGGAGGTGTCCACCGATTCCCGTACAGTGACTGTGTCTCACCGCTCACAACCCTATCGCTGGAGCTGTGAGAGGTTTTCTACCAGCCAGGTCTTGTGTTCCCAGGCCCTCTTTTCTGGAAAGCATTACTGGGAAGTGGACACTAGGAATTGCAGCCACTGGGCAGTTGGGGTGGCTTCCTGGGAGATGAGCCGTGATCAGGTCCTGGGAAGGACTATGGACTCTTGTTGTGTGGAATGGAAGGGGACTAACCAGCTCTCTGCATGGCACATGGTCAAGGAAACTGTCCTTGGCTCAGACAGACCTGGGGTGGTGGGCATCTGGCTGAACCTTGAGGAGGGGAAGCTTGCCTTCTATTCGGTGGACAATCAGGAGAAGCTTCTGTATGAGTGTACCATCTCTGCCTCCTCTCCTCTGCACCCTGCCTTCTGGCTGTATGGCTTACATCCTGGAAATTACCTGATAATAAAGCAAGTAAAGGTATAAGGTTTCCTCAGGGATTACAACACAGTGGTTTCCTGGTCTCTCTCCCTGTCATCAATCAGGGTAGTAACTTAAGAATACCACTTTTAAGAAAAATTACAATAGAGATTGGATCTCCCTAGGTTGCCCAGGCTGGTGTCGAATTCCTAGCCTTAAGCAGTCCTCCCACCTCAGCCTCCCAAGGTACTGGATTACAGGTGTGAGCCACAACACCTGGCCAAGAATACCACTTTTGAAGTTAATCCTTTTGTGTGATACAGGATGAACTTGGGATGTTTGAACCCTGGACATTCCAAATAAAGGACAGGCCCCTGCCCGGCTCCTGGGAGATAACCTCTAAGCCATTAGAATATCCTGCCTGATAAGAGTGTTTTTGTTTACCTGTGGGCCTTGGGCCATGCAGTATTAGCTTGACCTTGCAAGGTCAAGCTGAGGAGACTAAGTCAGCCATGTGGGCAGCGAAGCATGCCTATGTGACCAATCCCCAGTAAAAGCCCTAGACATCAAGGCATGGGTGAGCTACCCTGGTTGGTAATACTCTGTGCACACATCATTGTGGCCACACATCATTGCTGGGAGAATTAAGCATTATCCTGAAGACTCTGCCAGGAGAGGATAATTGGAAGTTCTCTTGGACCTTGCCTCCTGTGCCTTTCTTCATTGCTGATTTTAATCTGTAGCCTTTCACTGTAATAAACTGTAACCATGAGTACAACAGCTTTGCTGAATTCTGTGAATCCTTCTAGTGAATCACTGAACCTGAGGACAGTCTCAGAGGATCTCTAAACACAATTTGCTACTTATCAATCGCTATGAAGAATATTGCCACAAATTTAATGGTTTAAAATAACACATATATATTATTTCACACTTTCTATGAGTCAGGAGTCAGGGCATAGCTTAGCTGAGGCTCCTACATCGGAGTTTTACAAGCTGCAATCAACATGTCATCTGGGAACACAGGGTCATCAGAGGCTCGAATGGGGAAGGATCTGCCTCCAAACTCACATGGTTGTTGGCAGCCTTCAGTTCCTTGTGAGCTGCTGGACTGAGGGCCTCAGTTTCTTTCTGGTTGTTGGCTGGAGACCACCCTCAGTTCCTTACTCCATAGGCCTTTGCAACACAGCTGCTTGCTTCCTCAAAGCCAACAAGGGAGAGGGTATCCTAGCCAGATGACACAAAATCTTACATAGCATAACCACATAAACACGTAATCATGTACATCCCATTGCCTTTGCCTTCTATTGATTAGAAGCAAGTCACGGTACCACCCACACTCCAGGGGAGGGGATTACAGAAGGACATGAATGCCAGGAAGTGGGGCTCACGGGGGCCACCCTACAGTATGTCTGACACAGGGTGTTATTTCATACTTGATTTCCCCTATTTTTAACAACCATTTTATTGTATAAGAAAACAGATACAGAAAACTACATGAAACATGTGGAGCTTAATGAGTTATTATAAGGTAAATACCCTTGTAACTATCATTCAGGTCAAGAAATAGAACCTACCACCCGCCCCAGAAGCTCCTTCCTGTGCCCCATTCTAATCACAAAACCCTCCCTGTGCCTGAAAGGAGTCTTGACTTTCACATTAATCACTTCCTTGCATTTCTTTAGAGTTTTATCACTCAAATAGGCATCCATAGCCACAGTAGTTTCATCTTGCCCATTAAAAAAAATGGTATGTTCTTTCCTTTAACAGCTTTGTTGGGAATATTATTTATTTATTTATTTTATTTTGGAGACAGGGTCTCACATTGTCACCCAAGCTGGAGTACAGTGGTGTGAATCTTGGCTCACTGCAACCTCTGCCTCCCGGGTTCAAGTGATCCTCAGCCTCCCGAGCAGCTGGGATTACAGGCATGCGCCACCACACCCAGCTAATTTTTGCATTTTTAGTAGAGATGGGGTTTCACCACGTTGCCCAGGCTGGTCTCGAACTCCTGAGCTCAAGCAATCAGCCTACCTCAGCCTCCCAAAGTGCTAGGATTACAGGCGTGAGCCACTGCGCCTGGCTGACATATAATTTACATTCTATGAAATTCACTTAAGGTGTACAAATATATGTTTTTTACTGTATTTACAGAGTTGTAAAACCATCACCATAATCTAATTTTAGGATATTGTCATCACCCCCAGAAAGAACCCTCATACCCATTATTTGATGTCTCTTATCTCCTAATATACATGTCTCTCTTTCTCTCTTTTTTTTTTTTTTTGGTCTTACAATTCATCCATATAAGAGCTCTACTGTTGACTAGCACCTATTCTGAGATGGGACATTCAGCTCCTGAACTAGGTTGAAGAGAAAGCCCTGTCATGCAAACCAGCCAGGCAGCATTTGACAGTATAAACTCTTCTTGCCTTTCTTTCCCCTCTAAAATGGACATCTGGCCGGGCGCGGTGGCTCAAGCCTGTAATCCCAGCACTTTGGGAGGCTGAGACGGGTGGATCACGAGGTCAGGAGATCGAGACCATCCTGGCTAACACGGTGAAACCCCGTCTCTACTAAAAAATGCAAAAAACTAGCCGGGCGAGGTGGTGGGCGCCTGTAGTCCCAGCTACTCGGGAGGCTGAGGCCGGAGAATGGCGTGAACCTGGGAGGCGGAGCTTGCAGTGAGCTGAGATCCGGCCACTGCACTCCAGCCTGGGCCGCGACAGAGTGAGACTCCGTCTCAAAAAAATAAAAAAATAAAAAATAAAATAAAATGGACATCATAATTATTTGCCCTTCCTTATCTTCCTCACAGGGTTGCTGAAAGCATTAAATAAAGTAGGAGGTGAGGAAATTGGAAGAATACAAGGGTGGTGATAATCACAGCAGCAATGACGGAATTGCATCTTAGTATCACCCACCTTGGCCTTTATCATCCTGAGACTCATGCCTAATTTCTATACATGATTAATCGCTCCTTCAAAACAGGGGCAAGCAGAATTCTTCCACATGGTCTACTAATATGCTTTCTGAGCCTCACCACTGCCCTGTGTGATGGGCATTATTACCTTCTTATTGATGCATAAGGAAGCAGGGGCCGGGACAGGCGTGGTGGTTTGTCCAGGGTTGATCAGCCAGTCATGGCAGAGCTGAAACCAGGCCTAGTTTTCTCACCTTTTTTTCTTTCCTCTTTTTTTTTAGTCTTGCTCTGTCGCTCAGGCTGGAGTGCAGTGGTGTGATCTCGGCTCACTGCAACTTACGCCTCCAGGGTTCAAGTGATTCTCGTGCCTCAGCCTCCCAAGTAGGTGGGATTATAGGTGTGCACCCCCATGCTCGGCTAATTTTTGTATTTTTAGGAGAGACAGGGCTTTACCATGTTGTCCAGCCTGGTCTCAAACTCCTGACCTCAAGTGATCCACCCGCCTCGGCCTCCCAAAGTGCTGGGATTACAGGTTTGAGCCACCATGCCTGACCGGTTTTCTCACTCTGAAGCCTCTCCCCTTGTTACTCTCCGATAAGGTCCTATGCTAAGGCCAGGACCTGGCCTTCCGCTTTGATGGGACACAGCTAGCCCTAAAGTCATGAGGTACCCTTTCTTTCTGATTTTGGTGGTTGTCCTTAATATAGTGGCCTTGAGTTATCTAAGCAGGGACAGGGGTTCCCTGTTTGTGCCAAGTAATCACTAAGAAGCTATGGGTGGCCAGGTGTGGTGGCTCACACCTATAATCTCAGCACTTTTGGAGGCTGAGGTGGATGGTTCACCTGAGGTCAGGAGTTCGAGACCAGCCTACTTAACATGGTGAAAACTTGTCTCTACTAAAAATACAAAAATTAGCTGGGCATAGTAGCATGCACCTGTAATCCCAGCTATTTGGACACTGAGGCAGGAGAACCGTTTGAGCCTGGGAGGCGGAGGTTGCAGTGAGCCATGATCGTGCCACTGTACTCCAGCCTGGGTGATAATCGAGACTCTGTCTCAAAAATAAATAAATAAGGCTGGGCGCAGTGGCTCACGCCTGTAATCCTGGCACTTTGGGAGGCCGAGGCAGGCGGACCACAAGGTCAAGAGTTCAAGACCAGCCTGGACAATATGGTGAAACCCCGTCTCTACTAAAAATACAAAAATTATCTGGGCATGATGGCGGGCACCCGTAGTCCCAGCTACTTGGGAGGCTGGGGCAGGAGAATCACTTGAACCCAGGAGATGGAGGTTGCAGTGAGCCGAGATTGCGCATCTGCACTCCAGCCTGGCCAACAGAGCGAGACTCTGTCTCAAAAATAAATACATAAATAAATAAATAAAAAGAAGCTATGGGCCCTCACTTTCTGCATCATGGAGCTTTTATCTTCTCACCCAGAGTTACTTTGATGTTTGCCTTTTGAGTCAAGATTCAGAGTTTGGAGTGCAGGGTTTCAGCCTCTTGAGGTTCTTTGGTTAAATATTGTCCTCTCAGACAGTATGTATTGCAATGAGGCCTCTGCGAGTGTTGGTTTTATCTGCTGGCCACATGACGTCCCCAGACTGGAGCCAGAGCACTAGAATCAGAAAGATAGGAAAGGAAGGAAGGCTATCACTTTTGATTCCTTTGCTTTTGGCTTGCACTTTGTGTCAGCATATCTCTTCCAGGACACTGTAGAAAATAGTGTCCTTCCCTCAAACAAAACATAAAATCTCCAAAGGAGAATAACTAAAGCTGAAATGCCAGTGGATGAGGACCTGTCACTGGGGTCTGCACTGTGGGGGTGAGGAAATCATCTGCCCATGGACCAAGCCAGAAAGACTTTCCCTGGGGACTGTCTTAGTCCATTCGGGCTACTATAACAGACTCCCATAGACTGGGTGGCTTACAAAAACCAGAAATGTATTTCTCAGCTGGGTATGGTGACTCATTCCTGCAATCCCAGCACTCTGGGAGGCCAAAGCAGGAGCAACACTTGAGCCCAGGAGTTTGAGACCAGCCTGGACAACAAACAGACCCCATCTCCACAAAATCTTTATATTGGCTGAGTGTGATGGCATGTGTCTGGAATCTCAGCGACTCTGGAGACTGAGGCTGGAGGACTGCATGGGCCCAGGAGGTCAAGGCTGTAGTGAGCTGTGATCATGCCACTGCACTCCAGCCTGGGTGACAGAGCAAGACCGTCTAAAAGAAAGAGAGAGAGAGGAGGGAGGGAGAGAGAGAGCAAGAGAGAGGAAGAGAGAGGGGGGATAAGAAAAAAGAGAAAAGAAAATAAAAAGAAAGAAAGAAAAGAATTTTATTTATCACAGTTCTGGAGGCTGGGAAGTCCAAAATCAAGGTGCTGACAGATTTGGTGTCTAGTGAGGGAGCTCTCAGGAGTTCCCCCACCTCCCTTTTTTTTTTTTTTTTTTTTGAGTCAGAGTCTCACTCTGTCACCCAGGACGGAGTGAAGTGGTGTGATCTTGGCTTACTGCAACATCTGCCTCCCGGGTTCAAGCAATTATCTCTGCCACAGCCTCCTGAGTAGCTGGGATTACAGGTGCCTGCCACCACGCCTGGCTTATTTTTGTATTTTTTAGTACAGACAAGGTTTCACCGTGTTGGCTAGGCTGGTCTTGAACTCCTGACCTCTGGTGATCCACCCACATCAGCCTCCCAAAGTGCTGGGATTACAGTCACTAATCTCATTCATGAAGGTCACTAATCTCATTCATGAAGCCTCTATCTTCATGACCTAATCACCTCCCAGTACTGTCACATTTGGGGTTAGGATTTCAGTACATGAATTTTGGGAGAACACAAACATTCAGTCTGTAG